TGTACTTAATCGTTTCAAGCAAAGCACTACTTGGACAAAGCACAACTGAGCCAAGGAGCAGACACATCAGCACAAGAGAAGTACACAAGCTCTGCTGAGAAGGTGGGCCCCCGCAGAGGAAAGGGCCAAGGCTCAGGGTGCGCAGGTTCCCCCGACAGCTCAGCTGCATTTCGGAACAGTTTGTTTGTCATTAAGAAGGAAACCAAGCAAGCGTCCGTACCAGCTCCTTTATGACTCAGTCTTCTTACACGCACGTAGGTGACTCGGAGAGCAAACCAGGAGACAAGGCCCCTACCCACAAGCAGCTTGCAATACTGAGCGGGATGCAATGTCAAGTGTAACAAAACGGTACGGAGGGCTGGAGGAGAACGGGAAAGGGGTTACACATAACTTAGTGCCCAGGACTGCTTTATACATGCATATACACACACACACACACGTCGGGGTGTATATATTTTACACACACACGTGTATATCTGTGTATGTATGTATATATCGTGTGTGTGTGAGTGTGTGTACACGTCTTTGCTGACTCGTTTCTTGTGAACAGTGTAGCATGGATCCAGACGAGGGATTTTTATGAAGAAGGGGTAGCCGCGCTGGCCGTATCCTGAGAAAGACATTGCAGGCACGGAGGAAATACGGAAACTATCCTGGAAGTGGTTAGGGAAGAAACGGGCAGCGAGGGGCGGCAGGTGGCCTCGCCGGTGAAGCAGAGGAGATGAGGATGCAGCGAGAGGCGTCTGGTGGAGAAGGCAGTGAATTCGGCCCCTCGGCCTGTGCAGCCAATCTCTGCTCGTGTCGGTAGGTGTCACTGCAGACAGTTACCAAGGAAATTTCAGAGCTGCTGGGCACCCACAGGGAAACACTTGCGGTGTGTAGAGGAAATTATGCTTCACAAAGCAATTTTGGCAGGAGGAGGAGCTTTCTACCTCGCTATCAGTATTCTAATCAGGAAACAAATGTACGTGAACATCAGAGCTGGTATATTTTTAAAACTAACTGGCAGTCAACAGTGATCCACACAACACACATTATTATAACTGGGAGCAAATTAATACTGTGGAAAGACACCGCAACTCTGCAAAGACACAGTTTAATTCTGATCATCACAGCCACCCGATGCCAGGCAGGGAAACGGCCCAAAAGAGTCGCTGAGAACTAGCACCCTCTCCCACCTTACGGCCATCAGCACTGCTGACGTCGGAGACGAGGGTCTGCGTGTGCTCCAGTCTGTAGTGAGATGGTTTCTGGGGTCTGGAAGCCGCACACACTGCTCTTCCAGCAAACATAGGAATTAGCCAAGACCCTGCCTCCTTTTCCACATGGCCCTACTTGTACGGAGTGGGAAATATAGCCGTTACTTACAAACTGACATGGCGGCCTGGATTGCAGGGCCAGCCCCTGCTCTGACAGTGGCAACTGGATCATTACAGAATAACCTGTACAGGGAAGAAGTTTTTTCCTGAATCAAGGTAAGTTATGAGTTGGCTTATGTCCTGCGGCACCTCTTGTACAACGGATGCAATTAAAAATTGCTGGCATGAGTGTTTTTATTGCCTACATAAAAGGTCTACTTTTGTTTCAAAACCGCCCGGGTTCTTGGTCTCCGTGATGCCCTGCCCGGCGAGCTCTGCAAGTTAATTGCGTATTGTGTAAAATCATTTCCTTTTCATCAGTTTTAAACTAGCTGCCTCCCATTTCATTGCCCTTTCCCCCTATTCTTACATTACGAAACACCTTAAATAGAATCAGCAATTTACTTTTTCTCTACCCTTTGTTATTTTATACAGCTGTCAGATCACTCTCTAAACATTCCCAATCTTTCCCATTTAGCCTCTTTATATGCCTCTTAATTTTTTTGTTCCCCTTCTATTGCCACTGCTCCTTTCTGAGACAGAACGATCAGGCCTGAACACGCTCTGCAAGAGGAAAGAGCAGTGCTGATTTCTCTAATGGCTTTATAAAAATGCTCATCATTATAATAGCCTAGCATTTTGTTTGAATTCCTGACTGCTGCCATACACGGAGCAGGGCTTTCTTTCAACCGTCCTCAAGGATGACCAGGTCTTTTTTTCTAAATTGCTACAAGTAATTTAGAAGGCTATAATATGTACGAGGAATTCAAGTTATTCCTTTCAATATACATTACTTGGCACGAGTCTGCCAGCATGCTGCCCAGTCATCTAGACTGGTTAAATTCTGCAACTTCCTTAAAGGTTTCCTCTGCCTACTCTTGATTTTGCAGGGTTGGGGCAGGTAACGCTATACCGCTTATTAGCGTATGTTGCAAAATCTACAGCTGTAACACCAGGATCACGGTTTTATTTCCAGATCTAAATCATCTGCAGTACGTTGCTGAGGAGCTATCGACTGAATTTGCAGAGCTTTTCAATCCAAAGCCAATGGCCACGTCACCCTAACGGACAAATGCTCTTTCCC